CAACCGATGCCTCCAACTCCGGTTGGGGAGCGCATCTCAAGGGTTTCAGGGTGAGCGGACACTGGTCCCCCCTCGAGCAGAAACTTCACATCAACGCACTAGAACTCATAGCGGTGGAGAAAGCCCTCCGGGCCTTCTCCCGAATCATCTCCAACCGCACAATTCAAATAGTCACGGACAACACAACAGTGAAATATTATCTCAACAAACAGGGAGGAACACGTTCACAAACACTTCTCCCCATCTCCATACGCATTTGGGAATGGTGCATTCAAAACAACGTCCTCCTCACGGCCATTCATCTCCCGGGCCAAGAGAACACCCTTGCCGACTCCCTCAGCAGATCTCTGAAAAACAATCACGAGTGGCAACTCCATCCAAGGGAATTCAACTCTCTCGCTCTCAAATGGGGCAAACCATCAATAGACATGTTTGCCTCACCGACAAACACCCACTGCCACCTGTTTTGCGCAAGACTCCACCCTCACGCATCCCCAGGCTGTCTCAGGGATGCCTTCCTCTTCCAGTGGTCCCCCGGCTCATCTACTTGTTTCCCCCCCTCCCCCTCCTCTCTCCAGTAATAGCAAAAATTATTCAGGACAACTCAAACTGCATCCTGATCGCCCCATGGTGGCCCCGGCAACACTGGTTTGCCACCCTCCTCCATCTCTCCCGGGGAGATTTTCTCCGCCTCAAGCCCACTCCAGACCTTCTCACAGTGGAAAACGGCCTCGTTCTCCACCCGGACCTGCAGTCCCTCCACCTCACGGCGTGGAGGATCAAACCTCATTAGGCATTTCTGCAGAAGCCTCCCGTATCATACTAGCAGCCCATAAACCAGCTACACAGAGGTCATACACCTATAAGTGGTCTCTCTTTAAGGCTTACTCTCAGTCAGCTGGCCATGACCCGATCCAAGCCCCTACCCCTGTCATTCTCGACTTCCTAGTCCGACTCTCCAACAAAGGTTTTTCCCTCTCCTCTGTTAAGTGTTATCTAGCTGCTCTTTCCCACTTTAGGAGGAAAGCAGGGTTGCCGTCCCTTTTTCAGGATCACTTGATCCAGTTGTTTCTCAAAGGTTATAAAAATGTTCATCCCCCTATATCTCCACCTTCTCCGCCATGGAGTTTAGAATTAGTTTTGTCACAACTTTCGAAACCCCCTTTTGAACCTATGGCATCGTGCCATATATCTCACCTATCATGGAAAACGCTATTCCTTGTAGCCATCACCTCTGCTAGGAGGTCCAGTGAGCTAGCAGCTCTCCGCGCAGACCCACCTTATATTCGCTTCCATGACGATAAGGTCGTTCTCCGCACTGATGTCACTTTCCTCCCTAAGGTAGTCTCCCGTTTTCATATGTCTCAGGACATTGTTTTGCCCTCCTTTTTTCCTAATCCATCCTCTCCACATGAATTGGCACTACACTCGTTGGACGTGAAACGAGCCCTGTCCTTTTACATTCATAGGACAGCTAATTACAGAAAATCCCCTAAGCTCTTTTTAAAATATAGAGAAGACGTTCTGGGCCTCCCTATATCATCCCAAGGCCTTGCCTCCTGGATTGTTTCTACGATCCGTCTGGCTTACCAGTTGGCGGGCAAAGAGCTTCCTTCCCATGTCTGGGCTCACTCGACCCGCTCAGTGTCAACCTCACAAGCCTTTCTTCGAGGAGTTCCTCTTGACCAGATTTGCAAAGCAGCGACGTGGGCCAATCCTTCCACGTTTGCCTCTCACTACAAGTTGGACATCCTAGCCAAAAAGGACGCCGCTTTTGGCAGAGCTGTGCTTTTCTCCTGTGTGGCATGACCCTCCTCCAAGGTCAGTTAACTTGCTATTCACCCATAGGTGCTTATTTCACAGACGACACGAAGAATAAATATAGGTTGCTTACCTGTAACCATATTTCTTCGAGTGTACGTCTGTGAAATTAGCACAACCCGCCCGTCCTCCCCGCTAGTCATGCCTCTACCTGGTTCCTCTTTGGCGCTAGGAAACTGGCAAGAAGCCACGCCTGCTGGCTATATACGGAGCGGGGGAGGGAGGGGGAGCGATGGGCGGGCCTTCTTCTCTTTCTATAAAAAGACTTTTTTAACTAGTATATTTCCGAAATGCTGCGCATGCGCGATGTAGAACCCATAGGTGCTAATTTCACAGACGTACACTCGAAGAAATATGGTTACAGGTAAGCAACCTATATAAACAGAGGTATTTTCAATCTTATTGGAACAGGAATTCATTTTTATGCCCCTAGACTAATTAGGATCATGCGACAAAATGTATTTTTTCGGGGCTTGTATGTTTGTATGTTATAGTATGGTCTCTTTAGAATCTAAAGTTTAGATGCTGCTCAAAACACCAGAATAATAGTTGCATTTTGCTGGTTTGCTAGAGCTACTGGGAGGGTTACAGCTGTAGATGGTAGTAGCATTTAGTTGTTCAAGATTTGCTTTTCTTAAAAAAATAAAAAATGCATTCACAGTAAATTTTCATTGAAAGCACTTTATTCAGCATTTAAGCTCTCAGGGATGGTTGCCCTTCTTCCTCTTCAATTATGCAGTTTTTGTGAATTATAAGCAGCTATAGTTTTCTAATTAAACTTATACGGATCATAAGGCAGACTCATCACATTGAGAATAGCAGACTATAAAGAATAACTGTTTTTGTTTAAACAATGGCACCTCATTGAACACCAGGGGAAAAGTTTATTGGGGGAAAAGATTTGCATGTCCAAGTGAACATGGAGATGCTTCACCAAAAAAAAATCTGAAATAGTTCCATGACATATTTTCTTGAATTCCACAGAAATGCTATGGTTATTGCAAACAAAACATGCACAGCGATCTCGGAACTCCTCAGAAGCAAAGTGTCACATATTGTTTGGTAGGAAATGGCCCATAGGAGAATTCCTTATCCCTCGGTATCCCTTAAGTTATGCATAACTTCCTCTGTGTTCCTAGCCACTTCCCAATGAAGACCTACCAAACTGCATTATGAAATATGATAAACATTTCAAGGAAACATTTCAAGATCTAGAAATGCAGTTTTGAGCATAGTGTGTAACATCCTATTGGAACTACTATATAGAAATATTACTTGCTGGTTAGGAAAAGGTAGCAATTAGTATGAACTGAAACATTCTTCTTTACTATTGTGTGTGCAATTACACCATATATTTAATGCAGTTTGACACCACTTTAATTTGCATGGTTCAATGCTATGGGATTCTAGGATATGTATCTTAGTGAAGTACCAGTGCTTCTTGGCAGAGAAGGCGAAAAACCTAGTGTTTCCTTTCCTTTTCATTTTTGTTATTGAGTAAGAATTAACAGGAACAGATCACTTTTCAAAAAAGCAGTGGTAATGCTGATATGTGAATTTTATCAATAATGTTTCCTTGCTCTGATATATATGTATGTTATGTCTGAAGCATAGAAGAGTTATGGATCCAGGAGAGTTCTAGATCCTTGTCCAACCATGATATGCCTCCTACTATCCCTTTTTGTGTCTATTGACTATATTTCATTTTTAAGATGTCATCAATTATAAGATGCACGCTCACTTCAGTACCACCAATGGGGTGGGGGGGGGGTGGGGGGAGGGAGGAAGCTATATATGCACCTTCAATTTTAAGCAACACCACATTTTAAGAAATATTTATATCAGATGAAATGTGCATCTTAGAATTGAAGAAATACTGTATTTACTTTATTTCTATTCCACTTTCTCCTGATTTAGGGACTCTAACATGGAGTGGGGAAAAGTAAGCAGTACTGCCTCTCTCTCCCACTTCTTTCTCTGCCACAAGAGAAAGGGAGTTCAGCTTATCCTAGGGCCCTTCCAGTTTCCTCTCAGAAACAATATTAAAGTCTAAGTTTTGCAATGCCTCCTGAGTTTTAAATTATCATTTTTATATGCTATATGCTTTACTTTGTTGCATTGCATTGCATTGTGTGTTTATTTATGCTCTGTTTTAGGCACTTTGTGCCATATATAAGCTGCCCCGAGTCCCTTTGGGGAGATGGGGGTGGGGCACAAGAATAAAATTGTTATTATTACTCCTTCAAAAAGCTTGAAAGTCATTGAACACTTTCATGGCTGGAATCACTGGGTTGCTGTGGGTTTTCCTGTCTGCCTAGTTACCAACTAGCCTAGTTACTAACATACAACCTCTAAAGATGCCTACTATAGATATAGGTGAAACATCAGGAGAGAACATGGCCATACAGCCCGGAAAATGCACAGCAAACCAGCTTGAAAGCCTCTTGGAGAGGAGAAAGATTGTGAGTAATTAACATAATGGAGAAATACAGTTAGTTGGGATTCCCCTTGAATGAAAATTACCCATTTACTGAAGACTCTGGGGGCATCAAGAATGCTGGATTGATGCAGTTTGGTACCATTTTAACTGTCGTGGCTCAGTGCTATGGGATTGTGGGCCTTGTAGTTTGGTGAGGCCCCAGCACTCTTTGGCAGAGAAATCTATGATCCCATAGTATTGAGGCATTGCTGTTAAAGTCATGTTAAAGTGTAGATGCACCCTTTTCTTCAAACTCCAAATACAGGTTGCGTATTCATTATCCAAAATGCTTGGGACCACAAGTGTGGGATTTCAGATTGTTTGGGCTTTTAGAGTACCTGTGTTTGCATAGATGTAAGATAATGCACTGTCTTGGAAATGGGACCCAAATCGAAACACAACATTCATCTATTTTTCATATACACCTTATACACATAGCCTAAAGATACTTTTATGTATAATATTTTAATAAGGTTGTGTGTGAAACAAGGTTCATGTACATTGAACTATCTGAAAGCAGATGTATCACTATCTCAGCTACCCATGTGTACAATTATGGATTTTGGAGTATTTTGGAATTTCAGATAAGGGATGATCAATCTGTAGTCCTATAATTTTTCAGTTTTTGCAATTGTTTTAACATTTATTTTGTTTTTATTGCTAATATATGGGCACACTGAGAGTATTCTTTTATGTTTAGGCATTGATTTCAAAGTGAAAACTATTTCATTGAATGATACAACTATTCAACTTCAAATATGGTAAGCTGCTCTCTTCACCTTTTGTCCTTTTAACTTGATTTACCTGTTCTTGGTTTTATTTTCTCTGGGTGGTTAAATTAAATATAGCAAAACAAATATTAAGTCACCATAGCTAAGGCTACTGCTGAATAGGGGCAATAAGAAATGTATGGAGATGCCATTGCTTAGGGATACAGGTAAATGTTATTTCACAGTATTTAAAAGCTCAAAATTAAAAACTGGATTAATTTGTTTGCTATCGATATCCAAAGGGATGCTGTTTGCATGCCTTCCAGTTGTCTCAGACTCATAGTAACCCAGGAGCAAATCTTTCACGGTGTCCTTTATGGCAGAAGTTGTTCAGAGGAAGGTTGGCCTGACCTTCCTCTGAGGCTGAAAGAGTGTGACCTGCCTAGGTTTTCTTTTCTATTTCATCATTCTTAGGGTCATGCTGGTAATCTATGGCAAGTGTTCTACTCATGGAACTCAAAGAGAATAATCAGTCACTAAATGTTGTGCCTGTTGTCCTTTACAGACAACTGGGAGCAGATAAACTATTAAGGCAGACATGCTGGGATATACTTCTTGTTAACTAAGCTTCCCACTAGTTTTCACTGTTCTTTTACAATTCATGGAAAATGTTTTTTGGGGATATTTATCCCAGAAATTGCCATGTAAGAAGCCCCAAGTGACTCCTTACCATTTATTTTAGGGACACTGCTGGTCAGGAACGATTCCATACTTTTACTACTAGTTTTTTCCGTGGAGCTCATGGATTTGTTCTTGTCTATGATGTCACTAGTACAGAGAGTTTTCAAGGAATTGCACATTGGATGAAAGATATATATGAGGTAAGTTTATCCCATCCCATCTCTGTATTATATATGTAATACTCTTAATATGTTCATAGAATGTTATTGTAAACCAGTGGATCACTGCTTTTGTCATTCAGATGAGCTCAGAGCAAAATCACATTTTATTTGGATGAGGACTCTGCTCTTTCTATGATCTGTCACTCTTCCTATTTTTTGTTTTTTGGTGCAAAGCGTTATACTTTATTAAAGACTGAAAAACATTGGCGTGAATTGTCTGAACAAGGGCCCTTTGTGTCTCTGTTTTTTATCATTCCTGAAGTAAGTGGTTAGCATATATTTCTTTCTCTTCCAGTTTCATCTCTGAATGCTTCTCAGTAACACCTGTGACTTTACCATGTACATTACACTGTTGCTAAATTATGGTAGCTGGAAATCTCTGTGCCTCATCCTGGCTTGATGCTTTTTCAAGTTCTAACTCAGGGCCCTTCTACACAGCCCTATATCCCAGAATATCAAGGCAGAAAATCCCACAATATCTACTTTGAACTGGGTTATCTGAGTCCACACTTGGATAATGTGGGATTTTCTGCCTTGATATTCTGGGATATAGGGCTGTGTAGAAGGGTCCTCTGAAGGCCTGGACTGAAGCTTGTTATACTCAGGACAGTATACCGCAGCCCTTTCCCCCTTTAGCTTTTGTAGTATCATAGAGTTAGAGGAGGCTGCAAGGACCTAATCCAACCTCTCGTAATGCAGGAATACATAAAAGCATTCCTTAAAAATAACCATCAACCTCAATTTGAAGACCTCCAAAGTACAAAAATCCGTCACCTTTTGAGGCAATCTATTTCAATGTCAAACAACTCTTCCAGTCAATACATTCTTTCTAATGTGTAGGTAATAATGTGAAATAATGTAAAACCAAGTTTGAATTCAGATTTCTGAGACTGTGAATTGCTCCCTGAGTCCATCAGCGGGTTGGATAGGCTATAGGATTCTTTGTTGATAGAAGTGGTAGGAGATGTCAAGTGTGAGTCCTACATATCACCAGGATGCTGCTTGGCAGTTCTGACCTATCAAGCAGTATAGGTGGGGTATTGTAATTATATGTATTGAAACAAAGGGGGATGGATCAAAAGCCTGGCAAATTCAGACAGGATTTCTTCCGTTTGATTCAGATATGTCAGAATAGGCGAGGAAGTCCTTCACATAAAATTGTGGTGTAAAACACCCTGGGCATGCTCTTGCATAGTCTTATACTTTTGGATGAAGCTGTGGGGAGAGGAATGTCCCACAATATATGTGCTCTCTGCTGCTCTGAGTGGTTAGCATAGCCTTGCCAAAGTAGGTTTCATTTAGATGTTTTCAGGTTCTCCCACCATCTGAGGAAGCTGTTTGGGGGCTGTAAATCTGTACAGCTACTTTTGGATTTCGAAAGTGAGTCAGCTACATAGGAAATATATCTTCCTTTATCCAGGGTCTATTATTGTTGTTGTTGTTGTTGTTGTTGTTATTGAAACACAACAAGATTAGTAGACAGCAAACAAGATCACTATGCTGGCTGTTGTATTGGATTACACGTCGGATACTTCTCAAGTGTCTAGGACTCTGTGATGTATCGGTGAATAATGTGTGCAGAGCCGAGTAGGGTAGCCTTTTGCAGCTCATAGATGGTAATTTTGTCAGCACCTATTGTGTTTAAGTGCAGGCCAAGATCTTTAGGCACTGCACCCAGTGTGCCAATCACCACTGGGACCACCTTGACTGACTTGTGCCAGGGTTCTTGCAGTTCGAGCTTTAAATCCTCATATAGTGTCAGCTTTTCCAGTTGTTTCTCTTCAATCCTGCTGTTGTTGGATTTCAACATCGATTATTATTATTATTATTATTATTATTATTATTATTATTATTACTATGTTTGTTTATACCCTACTTTTTCTCTCCATGAAGGAGGCTTAAAGCAGCTTAACTGTTATGCACTGCAGGGACAACACAGGAGGGGCAACCTCCCAGTGCACCAGGTTCATGTAATGTGGTTTTAAAGTGCTCATTGAGGTAGAGCATAGTGGAAGAAGCAGCTCACTTAGGGAAATAGAGTCAAAACTTATATGGTGATAACTTGGCCTTGTTGCTATTCTTACCTGTCCGTGAGAGAAAAATACCTCCCATTTTCCCACTTCAGTGTTTTTCAGTGTTATGTGTGGAATGACTTATTCCATATACAAATTCATTTTCCTTGGCATACATACATACAATGGCACACTCGTTCTCTTTGCTCATATATAGAAGGTAGTTTTGCAAATACATATGCATTGATTTCTACCACCAGGAAGTTTTGGGCTAAAACTTCCATCATGCACACCCAGAGTGGTTCTTCCATAACCATCAGATGCAGCTGGCTTTCACCAGATCATGTTTATGATTTACATAATTCAATCATGTATTTCCTCTTATCAGTCCCAAATTTACAGTTGATCATTTTTGCAAAGTGACCTCGAGTTCTAGCATAGATGGTTTACCATTCCAGTTCTAAGAATGCATTCTACCAGTTTGCCTGGACTTTACTCCCTGCTACAGGACTGCATCTGTTACTTGCCCAATTACATGCTAACCTAACTGAGACAAATAATTATATACTCATGGAATTATAATCCACATGTGGCAACAGATGGTGTATGAAGTACTTTATTCATTCTGGGGAGTCCTCTTAAGGGCATTTTAAATGTTACATTTTGGTATGCAGTGATTAATCTCCATGCCAAGCAACTGGCTGAAGTTTGTTGGTAAAAATCCTATCATGTAAACATGAAGAAATGTAGAGTGAGCGAAAGACCAGTCCCTGCTCAGCCATGTAAATTCACTTTGTGACCTTGAGTAAGTCATACTCTCTCAGAGGAAGCCAAAGGCAAACTTCTTGTGAAAAATCTTGCCAAGAAAACCTCATGGTAGGATTGCCTCAGGGTCATTCTTCACAGGCCCTTCACAAATGCAGAAGTTACCAGATTAAAAGGGGGGTGGCTAAATGATATTAGCGGTAAATCCACACTGATTCACTGCAACAGATGAAAAACACTTATTTATTTATTTATTTATTTATTTATTTATTTCACAGTTTTGTATATTATTATTATTATTATTTTGTATGCTTATATACCGCAATATCTCAGCCTACAACGGCGACTCATTGCGGTTAACAGTACTTAAAAACAACAATAATCAAACAATTTAAAAGCATAAAAAACATATACAGTACACAGTATTGG